TCGCTTACCCCTCGTTCAAATTTTAGCATATTTTGGAATGTTTAATTATTTTTGCTTTCTTTCTTAGTTTTTATCTTCCTTCATTTCTGTGTAACCGACTCTTATTGTTTGCCGCTTTTGACTACTTACCGTAATTATACTTACTCACATTATCATTAGTTGCAAAAAATTAACTCCTAAATTATTCGTAGTAATTTCTTGGTTGTTCTTTAATGTTTGCTTTTTCTGTAATTTCAACTTTTTTGTGCTCGACTCATTTTCTCTTTGTTCCTATGATATTATTTTTTGTTATTCTTATTTGTGTGTCATTAATTGCTTTCTTTTCAGTAAACTCACGAAAATTGTGAGCTATTGCTGCGACAGAACCGGTTATAAGTTAAATTTTTCTCATTACTACAATAGTTATTTGAATAAGGTCAGTATAGAGTTATATAATTGCTTACTTATTATATAATCGTTGATTTTTCCACGATTTCATTTCATTGAAACATCAAATCCTTCCAAAATTCTTCTTAATGGCGCCCTTTTTTCCACAAGAACAATGAAACCTTCCGGATTGAAAAAGAATCATGACTCCTGAAATTCTGTTCAGTAAACTATATCGTTGTCCGTATAGTGCTCGAATAGCTCATTGTTTCCAAATAGGTCTACAAATCTTTATATAATATATAATCTCTCACTGCTTTACCTAAAATCTTTCATCAAATAAGTTTTCGCGCTATAATAAGGCAGGTATCGAAACAGAGGATATAATTTTATATAAATTCCTATCGGAATAGCGTTCAATAAGCTGTCAAAATAGTAGTGCTATATTGGCATGTATGTTGAGTATACTTTCCTTTTTTTACTTTAACCAGAAAAATTCTTGAAAATCTAGGGAACTTATTTCCAAAAGCAAGCCTTCAAGGGGTACTAGAATTTACTTGTAACAGTGAAGCAGATGTATTAAGATGATTTTAATACAATTTTAGCTGCCGGGAAGTAAAATATAGTAATAAAACTAAGTGGGTCTATGAACTATACTATAACTTGATAAAATACCAAATTTGATTGTAATCCATTTACAATTTCATCGATAATCTTTTAACATTTTTTATATAAAGTTTTCCTAACACCTGAAGGTATTTTCCCTGCTTTGATCTTTTCAAATTGTAAGAGTATGAAATGTTCGGTTACACCCGAACTTACCCTTCTTTACTTGTTTTTAAATATTTTTTAAATAAAAGGTTCACTATTGCCGGCATATATGTACTTCGAATTAAGTTGTTACCTATTGTTTCGTAAACTGAACAAAATAGTGAAAATAATCAACTCCAAGGGTGAAGAGTTGAAAAAAGTATTTCAAAAACTATTCGAACTTTAAATTTCTACCTTTTGGTAATTTTAAATAATAAAAAAATAAATTAAAATATTAGTCAAAAATAATCGTATATTTTACAAATTACGAATTTTATGTACTTGTATATTATTACTAGTATCTCATAATGAAGTGTTTAAACCACTGTACCCATCTATTAGATCCGGCTAACAAATGCATACGTGCATACATATTTGTCTAACAGTTTTACAGGTACGTGCCACAAATATAATACCCGCAATATCCTGCTGTCTAACTACCGAATTGCATCGCAAAAATTCCTAGACCATGGTCAGCAAATCGGTGGCTACCATAAACGAGCGAATATTCAACTGATCAATTCAAGTGTTTTGTTTGTTATTGTTTTTGGACAAGTCGGTAAATGTATTTTTGCAGCAAAAGCTAGCGGCGCCGCATTGCGCACAACTTCAAAGTTTTTACGGTATTATTCTACGTATTAACACATGTTAGTCTAAGCGACTGCATATGCCACAAAATCCGTAAAACTACGTGGAAACAGCAGGAGGCGCTACGGACCAGTAAGTTTACATGTATGCCAACAAGGGGCAAGCGATGAGGGAACTGGTTAGTTGCTTACCTAGTTCAGCTAATATATATGCTTATATACATACATATGTATGTAAGTTTATCATGCAATTCATTTCTCCACTTGTTTGTGTTGATGTGTTCGACAACAAAATAATGGCAGAAACCATTGTCAAAGTGCTTAATTACAATTTGACAAGACACTTTTCATACGTCTATTATTTCTTTTTCGTTTTTCTTCAATTTTATTACATTTTTGTGGCACTGCTCTTAAACAATTATAAATTTTTTTATTGTACGTCTTTACGTGTTGTGCTTTACCCTATTATTAGTTTACTTTTTGTGTTTTTTTTTTTTGCTATTGTTATTATATGAGGTTGTTGTCGTTAATTTTTTTTGTAATTTTGTGTCAAAGTTATAATTTTTTCTGGCAACCAGAATTTTGTGATCCAGAAAATTTTAATGAGTGTAATTTTTTTTCTTGGCATTTAAGGGCGATCGAGAAACTCGTTATGTGTGAGCCTAACTGTAGTCTAAAAATATTTAAAATGTGATTAATTGAGAATAGGTTATGCTAAAAAATACCTCTACGTCTTATGCCAGATGATGATAGACTTAGAAAAATAGAAAAAAACTAAGCACGAGATTAGGTTAGGTTCTATGACTGAACCTAAAAAAATAGATCAGATTGAAACTACTTAGTGTGTTTTCTGATGTCAAAAAATTTTTTTAGTTGGATTATATGTCCCGACAAAACGATTTCAACCTATCAAAAATCCACTTAGCAGTTTTATTTTTTATCCCGCTGATTAACTGTCTGAAGAATACTTTACAAAAAGGAAGTGTTGATATAATTTCATCTCATCTTCTTCCAAATAACTTATACAATTGGCATTAAATAAAAATTTTATTTTTACAGCATGATAGCAATTAGACATTTTTTGAAACATAACGATTAATACACAAATGTTCTTTTATTCATATGCATTACATTACCTTGATTTATGAAACCCATAACAGAGTACCGTATCTCTCAGCATAGTCTATGGAACCCCCTCTCTACACTCACCATAAACAGAAATAGATTTTCGCATGAAAATTCACAGTTCTGAAGCCCTATATAACCTGCATGAAGCTAGGAAGCGTAGTCGTGGCGTTGAGTCTAATGCTTCTACATATCATATTTTAACTAATAAATATATTACAAAATCTTTATTTTATTATCTCGATATCTTACTGAGTATGATTAAGGACTTTCAGGGTGTAGTTATTTATCAAAATATTCAATTCAGCGAATGACACATGTTTCATATCTTTCAACAATCTAAAAGTACCATAGTTTTCGAAAGATCACATCGTATAAAACTTGCCCAGGCTTAAGCTTAGCCTCTTTTGGCTCACGTATATATGGATGATTTTCATCATGTTGATCTCACTACTAACCTCATTTTAGAAAACGCAAGAATGTTTTGTTGCTGTCGAACTTCGTAAAAAACCCCAAAATATGAATCACGATTGTGGTATCAGGCGTCCAAAAATAAACATTCGGATACATTTATGATGTTGTGGCAGCAGCGTAATTCAATAAACTACATTCAAACCACTCCAATTATAAAAACAAGCCCCTAGGTAGAAGTTTTCATCAATTTCACCAGCAACAGCAATTTTGGTCAAAAATGTGCAAAGCTAAGTAAATTTTAGGGTGCTAGTAACCGTTACAAAGCCCACAGTTATAATGCTGGTCGGTACACTTCTCAACTTGCTCTGATCATTCGACTTCGACAACATTTCTTAACTTACTTCGATATGGTGAATAACCAGTTTCTTTGACGCGACTTTGGTTTTTTTTTTACACTTCTATTCTACGTATTCTTATGACAGATTTCACTGTGTTAAATTTTTAAGAAAACGGCGGTAAAATAAAAGGAGTAAATACAGCTGCTTTTGAGGGAGTACTTTATAGCTGAAATTTATGGATATTTTATAAGAAATAATCATTTTTAAGAAGCATAAAATCTACAGGGGCTCAGTAAATTTCTTTCTTTTTTCTAGTATTTTATTTTTCTTCTTGCCCGAAGCACGCCATCACTGTATCCAGCATATGCCTTTAATTCATGCTAGTTCTTAAATATATTTTCTGTATAAAAATCTAGATTTTTTAATCGTTGATTATTAAATACGTTAATAGTTTTTGTAATTTGCTAGTAAAATTTAATTAGGTCAACGCTCAGACATTTTTTCAATCACTCTTTTCGCAATTACTATTGCCTTTGATTGGCAATCAATCAGCTAATCAATCAGTTATTATTTTTTATTGCATTTTTATACAAATTTCTTTCCATTTTGATTCATATTTGTTCTACTTCTTCACAATCTGTTATTTCATTCTTTCTATTCGCTTATATGTGAGTAAATACGTTCCTTTCTTTTCGAATCATGTCTATATATGCGATTTACCTACAAGAAATAATGGATATAATGTAAAAGTAATTGTCTTTTTACCATTTGTCATTTTTTTGATGAGTCAATTGCACGATTCTTTCACTTACTTTTGGCAATGAATATTCTTGTTCGGAGGTTATGTACATAGAGTATATACTATAGCTTTGTGTTTGAATATCTCGTAATGGAATATTTCATAAAATGGTGTAAACGAATTATAATTATTTGAGATTAATTAAGAGTTATTGAAATTTAATTAAATATCGTTGATTTTCAACATTACTTCTCGCGACCCCTGAAAAAGTGAGCGAAATTTTTAGAATCAATAAATACTTGTTACTTAATATTTCTTAGTTCTTTGCCCGAAATCTGTAACAAACCAACCGAAATATTTGAGGTCTCCATAATAATAATAAATATTTGAAATATCATGATGATGCAGATAACATCACTCTTAAAACAAATTTGTAACTTTTTTTTAACAATGAAAATAACAATTATAAGGCATAAACTCCGATAGCCGGGCAGTAATACTTGCCTTTAAGTCAAGTTGTTAAGCTGATGCGCTTGTAAGCAAAGGCACTTTTCATTCACAATCAGCAAAATGAAACATGTCGGAGCGCAACTGCCTTACTACTGGATGGCTGGCCAACAAGAGTTTTAGTGAGTTTAGTTTTTAGTTTAGTTTAGTTTTTGTCGCCTCTAGTTGTGTGGGCTTAATCGAAATTTTGTCCAGAGTAAGTTCAAAAATATTTCTTAATGAAAACTGTTCGTTTTGAATAAGATTATGCTGGCAGACTAGAATGGATTGGATTGATTTGGAATCGAAACCATCTCACACATAACATAGTACGTCAATAATTTCTTATTATTCGGATTGCAAGGACAAAGACTAAATGGGCGCATGGTTTCATAAATTGAGTGCGGAAGTAACTAACCTTTCAATCAACGAAACTTACTGAAAAAAGTTCCAGTGAAAATTGTCAAATATTTTCAAGGTTCAAAATACAACTGAAACAAAGGAAAGTGTAACTAGTATATAAAAAGTAACGGTGGCACACGTCAAAGGATTAAATCGTTGCAATTGCATGAAAATGCAAGGACAAATGAATGTCGAGCACGGCACGTGTTAAAAATTACGACACTGAGAAAGGTCAATTATATAATATTGTCAAATTTTGAGAAAGATTAAAGGTATAAGTATGCATATGAATAGATAAATATATACATATATATGTATTGATATTTTTGTGATCCATTTTCCAGTTCAAGAACGCACGTAAATACAAATTTGTTTATAATGTGCTGATGTTCATGCTTTAAACTCGCAGGTAGATTATAATATCTTTACAAATATATTCATAAATGTCTATATGTGTACATGATGTATGTAGGTGTATGGTTTTATGTCGGCGGTAATGGGTGTGACGTTTTCTTATTTGCATTTAAGTTAGTGTAAATATTTGTATATTAGTGTCCATCCCACAGAGCAAACACAATCAGCTAGCGGCAGGTCAACAAATGCACATCGTGAGGTAAACAGAAAGAAAGTGAGGAACGAAAAAGAAGAAAGAAAAGAAAATAAGTCGGGTTACAAGCAGAAATTGAAATAGTGTTGCCACAACAGAAATGTTAATAAATATAAAACATTAGAATATAAACATTTGGAAACGAGCTAACTTTGAAAAGATGACTTCTTCAAACATAATTTATCCGATATATTTATCTATAATAAAAGACGAAAATCTTGTACGTGTTAAACATATTATTGGAATGGTAAAAATTTTAGATTTAAAGATATGATATTTCCACTCTTTTACAGTCGACTAGACTGAAAAAAAATATATTTCTGTAATAATCTAGCCACATAAAACGAATTTTGCTCGATTTTGATACTAATTTTTATTAGAGGAAATGAAATTACTTTTACGACTCAAGGTAAAATTTTAGTATTTCTGCGGCACTAGAATTCTCTCACGCTTAGAAAAAAATCTCAAATACCAAATTTTCTATTCTATTGATAATACAATTTTAGCCTCAAGATGCATCGATGGTTAAAATTTATAAAAAAAACCAATACTGTTGAGTTGTCCTTTTAGACTTACTGCGGGCCTTTGCCATAACTTTAACATTGAAACGTGTCACAATATTTTCCTTGGCTTTTTGGATATTATCGCCATTAACATGTATATGGATAGCTCTTATTCAAACTCACAGCTCTTACTGTACACTTTACGGCACTCAAACTGTATTTTGTACACGGAGGTAATTTTCATGACTGTGATGGACGAGTTCGGGAAATCTTTAAAAATTAGTATTAGATAATGGAATGGAAGAGATATGTGGTTAATGGGTTTTATGATTTTACTGTTCCAAAGAATTGGATGTAGGTCCGTGTAATAGTGCTCTCTAGTACCCTTTACCACAATTTTATTACAAATATTTATACTAATTACCAAACAAAAAAAAACAAATCTAAATATAAAAAAGGCTCTTTATTCAATAATAACAACAAATTTCAACCCAATTGGCAACTCTGACAACACCTAAATCTGTATATTCATTTACTGTTGTTAAATATTTGCCGAACGGTACTCGATGGCTGTCTGCAGTGCACAGTTGGTTGTTTAGGCAAGAAATGTCACAATGTTGCAAGCAGAAGCCAATATGCAACAATGCGTCCAGTGTGGGCGTAACGAATGCCAGTAGCTGAACTGGCCGGCTAAAGGTCCGTGCATAACTGTCGATTTTATGCGAGCAAATTTCACATATTTACATAGTTGTGCTCGTGTGTTTGTTGTTTGTCGCTCGTTGCAGCGAGTTCGTGAGCGACACACCTAATGGCAACATCGGTTTGCTTGTGCCCTGCTAATTACCTGCGAATGGCCTTCAAATAAAAGGAGCTGACTCCGTGCGTTTCTTTTTAAAATCTAAATAAACGAATGTAAGTTTGTTGTTATTCGCTTTGTATTGTTGAAATCTCAAGCCGCGGGGCGTAAGGGCGTGCACTGTAAGTAGCCACAATTGCAGCAGCAACGACAGCGGCATCGCCAACAACTACCTCGGTGGTCACAGTAAGTGCATATATATGTATGTATATGTTGTGCCAACATAAACAACGACTATTAACAACTTTATAAATATGTATATATGTATGTATGTATGTATATATGTATGTATGTATCTATATACGTGAACTAATTTTGGCTGCTTCTTTTTGCCACACACTGTGCAACTTTTCTGATTTTCTATTTTCTTTTGTGTTATCTTTTAGTATTGTCCTTCCATCTATGATACGAATGTTGTTCTAAGATGTGGGACGAGTAATATTGTCTTGTAATTACAATCTTGTGTAAGCGACCAATTTTACAAGGCAATTTTGTTTATACATAGCTTCTTAAAATACATCACTGTAATTCTTATCTCTTACAATTTAGATTTAAAACGAAAAATTATATATTAACCATAAACATGCCTCCTATTTTCAGAATAAAATTACTTGAGATGACTAATACCATGATTGCTAAACGCAATAAAACTTTTACGTGATTCAATTTAACTTCTTCTGCGAGTGGCTCTCCCTTTGGTTTGACTTTTAGAAGCTGTGGCTGAATTTTTAGAAAAATTATGTTTTATTTAAAATTCAATTATGATCAAAATCTTAAAATTTTTTGATTATCTACAAGTATTCATCTTAGTTTTATTAGCTCGTATAGTACTGTTCGAGCATTTAAATGAAACTAAAAGGTATTTAAAATAGAAAAATACATAAATATACATTTTTTTTTTATAAATTTTTTACATTCAATATTTATAAGATGAGGTAAATGGCTTATTATATTGTCTCCAAAAACTGAATTTATGCATGTTATCATAAGACTATCACTTTTACTTCGTAAATGGTATAAATGAGTATGTAGGTATGCAAACGATAAACAGTGTCAGTGCGTCGAGAAATGTAAAAAGTCAAGCAAATGTTAAATTTGAATGACAAAATAGAAGATAAAATGGTGGCTGACATGATCTGTGTAGAATAAAAATTCTAAAAGATAATTAATTAAGCGAACGTGTGGAAATGCTAATAGCTCGCAAAACATAAAAAGTGCTTTATGCTTTGAAAATCAGAAATATAATATTAATATAAAAGGTAAGAATAATTAAATTAAAGTTCGAACTGAGCTTTGAAAGACTTTGGTTTCAATTTAAAAAACATAATAAAATAATCATTGGTGCGCAAGTAAGTTCCCGCTCTTTGTCAATAGATGGCTCTAGCAGTTAGTGGTGATCGATTTTGATATATCCAAAACGTGATAAATTTAACCTAGACATTTGACACATACATGTCACATATTTTTGGTTGTGCGAATATATCCGATTTTTGGACAAATAATCGACATTTGCGAAAAGTGTTGATTTTTCCTTTCTGTCAAAGAAACTGGCAGCTGAGGCACATCGGAAACTCCAAAAAGTTTACGGAGGTGCTGCTTCAAGTGAAACAACGTGCCGTTATTGGTTTCGTTGTTTCAAAGATGGCGATTTCGATATTCTCGACCATCCGGGTGGAGTAGGGCAAAAACCTTCGAAGACGGTTAATTTGGAGACGTTGCTCGATGAGAATCCATGTCAAATGCTAGAAAAGCTTGCTTCAGCATTGGAAGTCATTCGACAAACCATAACAAAGCGACCACATGGGCTGAAAAAAACAAAACAAAAAAAGTGATACTGCTGCATGACAACGCTCGGTCTCATATTACCAAATCCGTTATAACATACCTGGAAACGCCTAAATGGAAGGGCCTTCCACACCCACAATATTCCTCAGATATTGCACCGTACGATTAATATTTGTTCCGTTCGATGTGACATAGTCTGGCTCAGAAGCAGAAGAAACGGCTTCATACTTGGATTGCATCACAAGATAAACATTTTTACCGTAATGGTATTCGAGCTTCGCAATAAAGATGAGAAAAAGTTATGACTAGCGATGGGTAGTACTTCAAATAATTCATTTGTTAAATTTGTCAATGTGCTTATATTATATTACAATGAAAAAAAACTAACTAGACTTTGTTTTTGAACTACTATAAATAAAATTAAAACATGAAAAAACGCTATAATAAATACCCTACACAAATATAAAAGTTTCCATACAAGAATCCGGCCAATCCGTTTGTATGACAGCTATATGATATAGTGACCCAATTTCGTCGCTTCCGAGAAATGAGCAGCTTTTTGGAAAGAAAAGAACGTGTGCAAAATTTCAGATCGATATCATAAAAACGCAGAGCTTAGTTTGGGTATACAGTACAAACAAACGAACAAACTCAATATACCCCTAATAATAAAGAAATACTTTTGTGCAAGTCCTTTAAAAAAAATTAAATAAAAAAAGTTCAAATATACAAAAATTACAATTAAAATGAAACACACAAATTACAAATGTAGTAAGTTCTTTTTATGCCGCATTTTACCCATTGCCAACTCACTTACTTTGCAATAGTGATTTGTACATTTTCGCTGCTTTTTGCTTTCAACATAAAATCTCCAACACTTGCGCACACAATAACCAAACAAGACGCGCTAGAAAAAAATGAATTGGCCAAAACGGTAAAGAAAAAATGTTGGAATCTGATGAAAGAAATTAACGAAATAAAGAAAGAAAGAAGTTTGACGTATGGCTCGACGAGGGGAAATGAAAAGCGAATGACAAAAAAAAAACACAAACGCTTTAGAAGAAGTCGGTCATGAAATCGCAAGTGACCCACTTGTAAGCAAACAACAACTGCAAAAACAACAGCAACAAAAGCAAACGCACAGCAGCGCCGAGGAGAGCATGGAAGCATGCGAAGAAGAAAAGTGCAAATTACATGTAGACACCAAAGTGGGACTGACGCGTCTGCAACAGATAAGGCCGCCAAACCGGACACACAAAGTGGGCAATAGGCAGGCAACACACACACGCATGCAACCCGGTTGTTAGGCAGCCTAGCGCACAGTTGAACATTAGGATTGACATGTAAGCGCTTAAAGCGAAGAGTTGCATAGACGACGCGCCGCAACGAAATCCACTTTATCGTCCGCGTCAATTTACACCAAACGACGCCACGCAAAACAAAAGACTTAAGCAACAAACTTGTAAGCTATTATGCGGCAGTAAAAAGCAGTTGGTGTGTCGTCTACGTGTGTTGTTGTTGTTGCACTCTGGCCGTTTACGGCATTTGCAGTTTTTATTTTCACTATTTGTTCTCGTTCAACTCGTAAATGTTGTTGCGACTGTTGTTGTGCGCTAAAGAGGACACCATAATTGACAAAACTAACACGAGTTTACATACACACAGACGCATATAAACACACACCTACATACTGAGAGCGCGCGTCCGCAACCGTTAACGTTGTATTTGCCATTATTTATGGCTGTTGTTGTATTTCATTTATTTTTGCACTGCATAGTTGCTTCTTGGCATATTTGTTTAGCTGGCCGTCTAGGCTAGTCGCCCGTTGGTGCAACAAGTTTGTGGCAAATCTTTGGTCAAGCTGCTGTCGCCTTCAAATGGCAGACAAACTAAGTCAACAGCTGTCAATTTGCGAATTTGCTATAAGGAAGTTGAGAATTAGTAAACATAAAAAATAATGTCCCTGATAACGTTAGTAATGCGAGCAAAAAATTGAATTTAGTGCTCTTTCTCGGCGTTATTGTTATTGATGAACAAATTGCTTAAAAGATGTGCATAGTAAGCTTTTGAATAAAATTAAATTTTTTTACTTTTTGGAATAATAGTGCAGTAAGAATGAGTGTTTGTGGTGCTGAGTTCAACGTTTATAAAATACCGAAGCTATAATAAATACCCATCATATTTTTTTTTTAATATTTTA